GACAAGAAAAGGGCCAGGTGGCTTTGGTTGGCTGACTGCCGAGTTTAACGCGCTCTTGCGGACGACAGAAGGGAGCTGGCCAGCCAGCCCGCCCTTGCCCCACCAGAGCCTTCCTCCCTCTACGCTGCAGTCATCAGGGTGTCCCCTGTCCCCCTCAAGCTCCTGAGCTTCCAGGGGGCAGGGAATGTATCTGGTCCACCCAGGCATCCAGTGCCTGGGACACAGCTCAAATATGGCACGTCGGGAATGAGCCCAGGCCGCGGTCTGGGGCCACTTGAAGACTTTATAACCCAAGGTGTTGCCCAGGGGCGAGAATGCCACAGAAGAATAAGTGCCACTCCACCGGCCTTGGCCACACCAGCCCTCCCTGCATCTCTGGTTCCTTCCCCAAATGATGAGACTCATGGTTAGACCAGGAATGGAACCCCGGCTCTACTGCTCATTAGCCTATGGCCTTGGGCAGTCACTTCCTCTCTTGAGCCTCGATTTCCTCATCTGTAAAATGGGAAAGCAATGGTGTTCCTGGGAGGATTGCATGAGCCCCTGCAGGTAAACTGCTCAGTGCTGCTCCACGTCTGGCAGATGACACACACGGATAAACATCATCATCACGAGGTCTGAACTCTATCTAGATCTGGAGGTTTTTTTTTTTTTTTTTCCTTTTTCCTTCTGGCAGCTTCTTGGCATGTACATACACACAGCCTGTGGAGCTGTTTTGGAGCCTGAAGGAAAAAACAGACCCTCTGCCTTTCCCACAATCCTCTCTTATTATTTCCTTTCGAACTCCAGGAGCAGACACGGAGTGGGGGGGGGGACAGGAAGCCGGGCCCCTTCGAGGCTGGCTCCAGGTGGTGACGGGCACCGATTCAGGCGAACGATGGACCATTTTGCGCCTCGGTGCACACACGCCGGACACGACTCGGTCCCCAGCGGGGACGGTGCGTGGGAAAAGCAGACTCAGACGCCACCAGGGTGCTTCCGCTCGCGTTTTTCACGCGAATGTTACAATCTAGGTAGGGAGCTTTCTGGGCTCGGAAAAGATGCCTGGGAAATACCGGCTTCCGTTTGAAATCAACGAGACCACAACAGGGAAGGAGGGGGAGGTGGGCACACAGACCCCACGCTGCCCCGTGCGGGCGGGCGCTCGGGCGTAAGTCTGGCGAGGTTGGCCGAGCACTGAAGCCAGGAGGGCTCAGCGGCTGGGGAGGAACCTGGAGGTGCTGGGAGAGCTGGCGCGGCCGTGGCCAGCAGGCGAGGGTGGCCCTGGGGTTTCCACTGGCTGCCTGCTCCCGGGCAGTACTCCTGGGGTTATAACGTCCCCAGGGCCCTCATCCCTTCAATGGGAACCTCTTGTGAGCGCCACGAACCACATACCAAGGTGAACGAGGCTTGTTCTCTCTGCTCTCGGGGAGCTCCAAGGTTTGAGGGGGTGGCAGGTGACAAAGCTGACAATTATAACTCGGTGTGACGCCTGCTATTACAGGAGGGAAGGCAGATGCCACAGGCACCCCAGGGATGAGTATTTAACCCAAAAAGGTTGGATGGAGAGATGGCTTTCTGGAAGGGAGCAGCGGGACGCTACGTCCTGAACGCAAAGGGGTATTGTCTTCACAGAGTCAGGTTGGGAAGAAATGTTTGAAATCCTCTCCTGCGTGGCGGAGCAGAAGTGTTCCCATATGAAACACCGAACGGTGAACGTGAAAATGACAAGAGTGCCCCAGGCAGGGGGAGCAGCTTGTGCACAAAGGCTCGGAGGTGAGAACAAAATATGGGCAGCTTTTTTTCATACCCCTTCTCGGTTCCTGGAAATCCACGAGGCATCTAAACACAAGGAAAGCACGCTGGTGGTGAGTGAGTGATATCCGATTCCTCCACTCACTGGCTGTGGGACTGCAGGCAAGTTGCTTTACCTCTCTGAGCCTCAGTTTCCTCATCTGTAAAATGGCCACACTACCACCTGCCCCAGAGTGCATGCAAAGCGCTCGGCAAGTGCTCAAGGGGTGACATTCGTTAACACCATCCTCTGTTTGCCCTTCTCGTCCTTTCTGGATGGCATCTTCAAGAAGGGACTGAGCTGATTCAACCTGGGAAATCAGGATCATCTTGGTCCTCAGGGAGGCCGGGGGGAGTGAGCAACCCCAGCGGGCACCACCTGTTCTCTGGCCCCCCCTACCCTGAGGCTCTCCCCCACTTCTTCTCAGCGAGGACTCCCAAGGGACTGGGCCTGCAGGGATGGATGCTGGGAGCCGACATTCCCACGCCAAGTCCAGCGCTCTGCAGACAGACACACACAATCTTCCTGAGCCCACACAGCTACTCCAGGATCCAGGCAGGGGCACCGAGGCTCATGACTTGCTCAAGGTCACGCAGCTCAGAAGAGGTGGGACCAAGATTTAACTCTCAGCTATGCCTCGAAGTGGCCAGGACATATAAAAGTGTTCCAAGCATGGTCAATAATATTAACACTTACTTGTGTTTGTTCCAAGTACTTTACATATATGAATCTTTCCCAACAACTCCAAGGAAGGTACCATTACTATGCCCATTTTATAGTCGATAAAACCGAGGCACAGAGAACTTAAGTTACTTGCCCAAGGCCACATACCTAGACAAGACCCTGAGGTCAGGCTCCTGCCCTGATGACAGCTGTGCCCTCATCTCCTACAATTCTCATTTACTGTTGCCAACTTGTTCCTGCCACAGGGCCTTTGCATTGCTCTTCCTCCAACCGAAACGACCTTTCCACTGATGTTCACATCACTGGCCCCTTCTTATTTGGGTTTCTGTTCCATCATCACCTCCGCAGAGGTCCCATCCTGGCCCACCCTAAAGAAACTCACTTCCCTGCCCCAATCTCATGCCACCCTGTTTTATCTTGTTCACAGACTTTAACGCCCACGGGTTGCTTTGTTTCCTATGTCTCCCTTCAAGAACATCAGCCTCTCTAGATCACTTTTAAATCCGCAGCTCCTGGTCTATAAATGTTTGCTAAATGGGTAAACATGATCAGATTATGTCAGCCCCTTTCAGAGGGCTAGGAGAAAACTTGCACCCACCCAAAGGCCCACCTACCTAAATGAAGGTGTTCGTTGTCCCCTCTAGTCTAACCTCAGCACCTCCTCCCTGGCCCTACCATCTCCCTTCCCCCTTTAGAGTGTGAAACATGAGCTCCGGGCTGCAAGAAGGGAAGCTGCACCAGCCACATCTAGGAAAGTTACAGAGCAGGGACGCACCATCTGTCATCCCCGTGGGAGGCTGGGCCCAGGAAACTGACAACACTCCCAGCATGCTCTGCAGCCCCACCTCCTGTCAAACCCACAACCAGGAGGAATTCCCCCCCCACACACACCCCCTGGGTGCCGCCCCACAGCGGGGGCTGCCCACCAGCTCACCCTTCCAGGGGGGGACCCCAGCTACAAAGAACCCCCATCCCCACCCGTCCTGACTCAAAGCAGCAGGAAGCAACAAGAGGGCACTTGAGAAATAACAGAAACGGGAAACCCAAGAAAGTCAGGGGGATCCTTCCTTCTCTCTCACCTTAACCTCGGGACTGAAGTCGATTAAAACTTTTTGAATAAGTAAAACGTTCACATAGTTCAACAGGAAAATATTGAGAAGTTCACAGTGAAAAGCTCGCTCTCCCTTTGTGCCTCGCACCAGGCCCCTCCCTCCCACAAGCATCCACTCTTAACTACCTTGTGGATTCTTCCAGTCTCCAACGCAAATAGAGCAATTACAAATAGATACTTTCATTCTCTCTTTTAAACAAAAAAGGGTGCCATATGATCTATATACTACACTGCACCTTTTCTCTAGTTGGATATAACTCTACACTTGTACATAGATATATATGTGTATATATTAAATATATTAATATACGCATGTGTACACACGTGCCAGTTATTAAGGGTTTCCTGTAATTTTCAGTAAATTCTGCAAAGGCGTGTTCAGACTGGGGGTCAGGAGAGGTCGCCTTGCAGCTGAGCACAGATGGCTGGCCACCCCCTCTCGGTAGGCAACACTGGATGCTGTCTGCGCTCAACTCAAAGCAGGTGCCAGGAGCCAGCTCCTTAGCAGAAAAATCTGCAGCTCCCATTTCTTAAGCAGAACCCCCAATCCACAGGGAAGTAAAACTGACAGTCAGAGAGGTAAAGTGACTAGCCCAAGGTCACACAGCCAGGAAGCGGAGCTGGCAGGGTTCTCACCGAATTTACCGGTCGCCAAAGCCGGTTTGCCCACACACCTGGCCTCCCGCGGTCTTCAGTCCACACTCCCCTGCGGAGCCGGTGGCGCCCCGAGGTCGGGGCTCAGGAGCCAGTCCCCAGCCCGGCTGGAGTTGGGCGAAGAGACGCTTCCTCCGTCACTTCCCTGCGGGCAGCTTGGCCCTGAGCGCCCCGCCCCGGGCCGACGCGGGGCGCGCAGCCTCTGCGGTCCCGAGCGAAGACGCCGGGCTCCGTGCAAAGTGCTCTGCGGGCGCTGCCTGGCTTAAACCTTCCAGCTGCCCGCAGTGGGGGGACTGCCTGCCCCCATTTTACGGATGGGAGGACGAAGGGAGGCGCCGACGGTCAGACTCTGCTGCCTAAGGTCACCCGCAGCCAGAGCCCGGCTCCCACCCAGGCCCGCACGACTTCGAAACTTTCTGCCCTTGCGCCCCGCGGATCCCGACGACCGCCAGGTGCGGCGCGCGCTCCAGCCCGGCAAGCCGCGGGCGCTCGTGCTCCTGGCCGGAAGGACCAAAGTGTGTGTGTGTGTGGGGGGGAGGGGGGGTGTCCCGGGCCCTGCTCCCTCTCCGGTCCGCAGTCCCCAGACCCGGGGGCTCCCAGCCAACTCCAAGGCAGAGCTCCTCGCCGCAACCCGAAAAGTGGCTGGCGGGGACCCATTTGGAGGAGGAGGAGACTGAGGCGCAGAGAGGACCAGCCACTAGCCCAAGGTCACACAGCACGGCGGCGGGCCAGAGTTCCCCGCGCCGCTCCCCGCGCCGCCCCCCGCGGGGTACTCACAGCCGGTCTTGCCCTCGAGCTCCCGCACCTCCGCCGACGCGGAGTGGGCAGCGCCCATGGTGCCCGCGGCGGAGGCCCCGGGGCGCGCGTGCCTCCCAGGTCCGGAGCTGGCCTCGGCTGCGCAGCGGCCGGTCCGGCCTCAGGTCGGGACGCCGGGGACGCCTCGGAGCCGCGGGTTCCGCGTGGGGCCCGAGCGCGGCCTCATATAGCGGCGGAGGGCGGCGCGCCGCGGTCCTAGCGCACGCCGGCTTCGCGCACTGCGGGGCGGAGGGAGCGCCCCGCCCCGGGCCGGAAACCACGGGGCGGGGGACCCGGGAGCCCACCGTCCAGGGTCCCGCGTCCCCGCAGCGGCAGCCACGCGTGTCGTGCCTCGCCCCTTCCGCACCTCTGCCGGGTCCGGAAAGAGCAGACGTAAGCAAAGTCGGGGCGTGGGTAGGAGGGATCAGACCCCTCGGAGGTCCCCCCTCCACCCCACGTCCTCCCAGATCGCCGGAGGGAAACGCCACTAGAACAGTCAAGGAGGTCAGCAAGCGTTAATTAGCTAGAAGGCAAACAATAGCAGTAATAATAATCCAGTGTGAATGCGCGCCACGTGCTTTGGCTAATTCCAGGAAAGCCCGGGCACCCTTCTGAGATGAGCACACACGCACCTGACCGCCTAATCCCACCCACGCCCCAGCCCCGCCCGGCACCGCAGCTGAGGGGCATCTCGAACTTTAGGAGCAAGGAGCTCGTGGCCCACGGAGGTTTTTGACTCAGGCGGGCCCAGGTGGCTTCGTTTCACACAAGCTGCGGGAGAGATGCGATGTGGGTGGTCCCCGTGCCACTTCTGGGCAGCTGGTGTCTAGGAGTGGGGGCAGGGGCCAGTCCTGCCACCTGTCTAACATGATTCCTCATCCTTAAAATGGGGATAAGAAGTTAATGAGATATCCACCAAAGGGGCTGGCGCGGACACAGCATAAGGTGACAGCGGCCGCTGTGGAATCCTGTCCAGCTTACAAACGAGGAACTGTTCTTCAGGGAGGTCACAGCCAGGACAGAACTTCAAAGTCAAGACTTTGTGGTTCTGGTTCCCAAGGCCAGGCCCTTGTGCTCTGCAGTGTTTGGTGACACCGCTGTCAATGACTGTCCCGTATGCGGTCTGCCCTGGGAGCCAGGCTCAGTGAGAAATGCTGGGGTGCCCACGGACAGGACTGGGGTGGGCCCACCTCCCTCAGCGTCACAGGTTGCTGGGGAGGGGGCTGCTGAGACCCAGCTGTCCGTTTCTGCAGACCACAGGCCCAATCCAAAGGTCACAGCCCTTTCCAGGGGACAGGAGGTGACTTTCAGGGGGGTGGGGCCTGAACCAGCCAAAGCCGAAGAATCAGCCCCCTCCTGGTTGAAAATCCAGCTTCGGGTTTCACTGTGCGTTGGCGTTCACGGAGCTGAGGCCCAACCTGGAACCTGCATTTTAAAGCACCCCCAGGTGGCGCCGAGACCCGGCCCAGCTGGGGAAATGTTGGCTGTGGGGCATCAGCTGGTCTGAGCGGGCTGGACCGCTGACCTGGGACTGCTTTTTGGGTTAGAAGGATCCCAGAAACCCAGGCAGGCCTCCGTGGTCGGAAAAAGCATCCCCAACCCCCCTGGGAGGTCTGGGCCTCTGAGCCAGCCCATTCTACATACGTGCTGGGAGCAATTTTATTCCAACTTAAAATATCAGTTCCTGGAATTTTATTATATTAAACTAGTCAAGCATTAAATGATGGAGCTGTCTGCTGGGGAGCTAGGAAGTGGCATTCTCCGGTTCGCCTAGTTGCTCCCAGAGCTGGAGACTTTGCACGTGGGTGGGGACCATGAGAGGGACACAGGGCTTCTCTCTGTCCCTCGGGTGATCCTGGGGAGGCCCCCCCAGTGTATAGGGTGAAGGGAGCCAGTCTTACTGGATCACCTGTCTACACTGGCCCAGGGGCCCCCATTAGCTCCCAGACAAAGCCCTTGCACTTGTTCCTTCTGCCTGGAACTCTCCTCCCCTCCCTCTCCCTATGGCCGGCTTCCTCTCCCGTGTAGACATCACCTACCTCCTCAGTGGGGCCTTCTCAGGGTCCTCCTTCCGTCTGCCGGGTCTGCAGCCAAACAAGCCACCTTCACCAGCCGGCAGAGCGCCAGGACACAGGGGGCCTGGGTGTGACGACAGGGGGGAATCTATTCCTAACTGCAGCGCTTGGAGAAATAACCAGAAGCACCTGGGGGCAGCAGGAAGGGGAAAAGCTAAGGCACAGTGTGTGTGTTTTTTCCTTCCTTCATTTTTCGTTGTACATTTACTGGGGGCCTACTATGTTCAGGGCTCTGGCTGGGTCCTGGAGGAACAACCAGGACTAAGATGCCACCTTTGCTCATCAGGAACTCCCGGTGGCGGGGGGTAGACAGACACACAGGCAGTGTCAGAGCAGAGGGATAAACAACGGCTGACGTGGCTCTCGTGGGGCCGGCAGAAATCTGGAATGTTCAAGCCAGAATGGCCCCTGGAGAGATTCTGACGTCCTTTAAACTGAGCTTCGGGGAGACCATGATTGTCCCCAACTGTGGTCCCCAAGGGGTACGCCAAAGCCAAATACTGTGCGGCTGTGTGGGCCCCCGCGGTGGCACCCGCCACCCGCCTGGGCTCTGCCCTCCTGCTCTGGCGGCGATGCACACACCCGCAGGGCGCTCTCCACACAAAGCCCGGCGCGCCTGTTCCAGGACGTCACGGCTGTCATTCAATCCTGCCAGTGGCTCTGCTGCCGTCACAGAGCAAGCACCAAGAACGAGGTCTGCAGCGTTGCATGGGGTCTGGCCAGGGCTGATTGGATTTGTCATCCAGAGCCCTGGACGAAGGACACCCCGTGGGGCGAGCTTTAGCCCCCATAACACAGCATGACCTTCCGAGCACTGGGAAACACTTTCGTCACCAGGCAACTGCCTCTTTTCTCCCAGAGGACTCCCCCGGGAGGAGCTGATTAAAATCGGTGGCCACGATTCAAATAGCCGTGACTGTGATGCCACAAAGGGCAGCCGAGCCCAGAGACAAACAGGCCAGTCATTCAGCTCTCCCACCTGCCCGTCAGGGAGAGCTCCGGAACCAGACTCGGGCAAGTGGCTTACCCTCCTGGAGCCTCAGCTTCCCCATCTGCAAAATGGCAATGACGACGGTGCCTTCCTCATAGGGTGGTTGTGAGGGTTACATGCAGATCCGTGTATGTAAAGTGCTTGAAACCGCCTCCCCTACCAAGTGCTATCCAGCGTGTGCTGGTTAACAGGCCGTCTGACAGGGTGGCAGGGGAGGAAGCCCTAGACTGTAGCATTTGCCAATTTCTATGGTGTAAACACTCCCACCATTGTCAATTTCAAGCTACCAATAATTTAACAACAGGCTTTCAAAATCCCTGAATATTTAACCATTTACTCTTGCAAGCTAGTCAAGACGACTCCAGCACACTACTCATAGTAGACCAGCGGTCCCCAACCTTTTTGGCACCAGAGACTGGTTTCATGCAAGACAATTTTTCCACGGACAGGAAGCGGGTGAGGCGGAGCTCAGGCAGTGATGCATGGCCGGTACTGGGATGCGGCCCGGGGCTTGGGGACCACAGCAGTAGGCTTTTACTATTATTCATGTGTTTGTGTGTTTGTTCATTTATGCCTTCACTGTGGAGTGCCAGGACTTTGGACACCACAGTGAAGGAGACAGTCCCTGAGCTCAGGGATCCCAGAGTCTAGAAGGAAAGACCATCATGGTACACTAGTGGGTTCCAGCTTCAGCAGGGGCGTGGAAGAGGCACCCAGCACACCCCTGTTTTATTGCTAGGAAAACCACGGTGTTCAAAATGGGTTGCCAGCCAGAAAGACAGTGCAGACTTCAAGGCATCTGAATAGCAGTTTCTAGAATTAGCGTGGAGTAACTCCCATGGCTTGGTAATGTTCTAGGAGCAACAAGACACTTTTCTTTAACTTTGAACCACTGACTCCCAAGAAATTGGTGGGGATTCCAGGTGCCGCCTCGCTTGGCCTCTGGTTTAGTGAAGACCACACCTAAACCACATCAAACACGCGATGATTAGCGATGCTCTCGTGAAACAGGCCCAGGATTTTCGGCTCTGACACTACAGTTTTTCTCACAAGCTCATTCGGCCTCCTTATGCTGGTTTCAGATGTCTGGGTCTCTTGGTTTAAGTGTCAATGGAATCAGAAACTCACATCCCCAATTTGCATTTTGCACTAAAATTGTCCTTTTGGTTGTCTTTTGAGCGATCCTTCCTCTTCTGATGCACCCTCATCTTTTCAGCTCACCCTGGGCAACAGCATGCCGTAGGAGGTAAATTCAGACCTTAGTTGGATGCCGGCTGTGCCGCCCCCTGGTTTTGTGCCCCTGGGTTGGATACGTTGCTGCTCCAAACCTCGATGTCCTCATCTGTATAATGGGCACCACACTCCCATCTCCACAGAGTCGGCGAGAGGATTCGGCAGGGGTGAAATGGCTGGCATAGAGCACAGCCTGCCCCGGCTGGCCGGTCCTTCCCTTGGGGGAAATGTGTGGGACATCATGGCCAGCCTGACTGTCCTCTCTCTGCTAGCCCTCCCGCCCTCTTGTCCCCATGAGTCACAGGGAGACAAATAAATGGAACCGAGATTGAAAACTCTGTCCAGCCCCCAGTTCTCATTAAATCACGTCCAGCCTTGGTAGAATGAGCTCAGTAAGGGGAATTTAGAACAGTCGTCCCTTCTCTTCCCTTTCTGAGTGCTTTAAACTCAACCCTGAGTCGGAACATCATGTCTTCTCCATTGCCCGGGACGAGGGCCCCTGTGGGTGCCCCACTCACTCAGACTGTTGGGCTCCCACTGATGCACCCCCTGCCCCCCAGGAGGCACGACTGCCACTGCCACCAGCATCTTTGTCTCAACCTGTAGCTGGAGCCGGATGCCCAGACCTCAGAGAGTCGCGGCTCCACGGGAGGGTGGCTGGCCCTAAAAATAGGAGATAGGGGCTCTTCAGGGAGGGTGGCTTGAGCGTGTTTTTCTATTATTTATACAATTATAAATAGTCACCAATGACTGGAAGTTGCCGGGGGCAAATGGAATGTTGTCTCTGGATGGGCTTCAAACTCTGTGTTGTTGTCCAAGAAACAAACTTATCAGAGAGACAGAAAGAGGT